ATTTACTAAGGTCATTTTTCATATTTATTACGTTAACGTCACAAATAGATAAATAAACAACATGCATATGGTGACCTTATATTTGAATCCCGGCCTGGGGTCTTTATGCACAGAGTCTGCATGTTCTCCCTGTGCATGCATGGGTCCTCTCCGGGTACTCCAGCTTCCCCCCATAGTCCAAAAACATGAATGTTAGGTTAATATGTCTCTGTAAATTGTCCGTAGGTGCGAGAATGTGCATGGTTGACCCTGAAAGGATGAGCGGTTAGTGGATGGATGGATGAATAGCAATGCTGCTAAAAATAGAAGTAACGTTAACAGCCTGAAATACTTCCAATAATAATAAAGTTATAACACAAATAAAGTGTGTTTATTGAAGTAAATATCCAGAGCAGCACTTTCAAGCACAATACATTTCGCGTAGCATTTTAAAACACGCTTATCTTCTTCAGTCAGGACCCCCAAACACAGTCTGGAAACAGAATGGTTGGTGATGTCTTGAAATTGTTAGAAGAAAATTTGTTTAATGATATATTTAGCATAAGTCTTGAGCATGATATTACATTATGAATACAGTTTGTTTGCTTATATTCAGCGACAAAGGAAGCAGTCCTGCAGGATTAACGCCCCGGCTGTGGATGTCCTTACGGAGGGCCTTTGCGTGTCGTGTGTCGGTGAATGTTTTTATGTGCAGTCATATTGAGAACGACAGTAATGACTTCCAGTTTAGTTTCAGTTCTTGTTATGAGTCTCTACCTACGGATATCAAAGAGACGAGCAGCACCAGTGGGACAATATAAGACAGTTTCGCTCCTTGTTTCCATGCTCATGGTGATCTCTCACCGACACCATGTTTTCCCCCCGCATTCACACACTCTCAGGGGTGACTGGGTTGTTCTCGCTGCTTTTAAACTTCGCCTTGGATCCAGTTGAAATTCCTTTCTCCTCATCTCATTTCCTGTTGTAGCGTTCTCCAAAGGGAACTGCTCTCCAGTTTTCTATCTGGCTGACTTTTCTCTCTTTCTGCAGTCTTCCCCTTCTCTTACACTCGATTGAGCACACTGCTTGTAATTCTGCGTGTGCGTGCGTGCGTGAGTGTGTGTGACAACCTTGCCTCCCCCCCTCGTTCCCTTTCTTCAACTCTGTGGTCCCCAGGCCTGCTAGTTGAGTTGAAAGCATTCACGCCTGTGTATCCTCGAATGTGTTCATGTCAGACAAGATTAGAGTAATGAGTCGAACAGCGCGTCTGTAACTGTACACACGGGCGCAGCGACTGGAGTCGGTCAACAGAGGAAGGAGAGGAACAAAGCTACACATTCACTACATCCATTACGTTCATACAAGCACTCGGGTTTCCTCGTTTCTTCTCTTCTTGGCGGTTTTTCACCGGCCGCGCTGACGACGGGAGTCGAGCGTGTCAATTCGCCCCTGCTCCTGTCATCGCTGCTTTTCTGCATTTCGGCTCTGGGGCCCTCATGTTTGTTGTGTGTGCGCACGCAGTCGTGTCAAGTGTGTGTCTCGGCCTGTTTGGTTCAGATACCGTGGTAAGATATTCTCCAGGGACAGCTGCATTGGTGGTTGATGAAAAACAAAACGCTGCCGTTCTTGTCCGGGCGTCTGTTTGGCTGCATAACGGAGAAAGAGATGAAAAGGGGAAGCTGCAGAAATTACAAGAAAGTGAAATCAGGTTTTTTTGGTAATAGAAAATGAAAGCAGGAACAGGAAAGATTTTATGCTAGAGAATCGCTAGCTGATAAACTCTTAGACATGTTACAAGATTTTTTATTTATTTGATTTTTTTTTTTTTTTTACAAACTCATGTGCCGTCATGCATGAGCACACACTGATAAACAAAGCTAAAACTTTAACCATCCACCCTTCTAAATTCAGAAACATGCACTGACATTTTCCACAACATTAAGCTGCAACATGGCAACACGTCTCTGCGTACAAAAGTAAACACTGTATTCAATTTACGTGACATATTTTTTAAATATCTGCACTGTTTTGGAACGTAATAATTTCTGGCAAACCAGCATTTTACTATGTTGAAAACCTAAAAAAAATGTAATTACCACTCTAATTTACATAATGAGTTATCAGTTTAGTAACAATCAAAATTAGACAATGACAATAGGTAGATAAAATCACATTTATTGTCCTTTGTCCTGTGTCGGATAGCTTTTCTGACTCACTGTCTTTTGGCCTTTTTTTCATGGATTATAAATATAGTAAGTTTCTTCTGAGAAAAGCAACTTATCTAAAAAAAAAAACCTAGAATGATATATTCTGCTTGAGTCCGTGTTGAGTCCCTGTTTTCTCCTCCTTTATTTATTTTTATAACACCTTAAATTGAGTCATTAAAAGCATGCAGAGCTGAGAAAGTGGTGGTAATCCCGTGACATTTGGGATGACCCGGATGGTTGCAATCCAATCAAGGCATCTCACAGATCATGAATGAGCGTTGGTCGGAGGGAGGGGAAAAAAAACAAAAAACAAAATTCAGATTAAAGGGAATTTGAGAGCATGGAATGAATGAGAGGGATTAACATGTTGGAGGTGGAATAAAAATTGGAAAACGGATGAAAGAAAAGCAGAGATGACGAGGATCTCATAACAGGGAAATGAAGAGGTGAAGCAGAGATAAGAGAGAGTAACGTCATCTCCGACGTAAGAGCTGCAGTCTGCAAGTTGAAGCAACGAAGTGTGTGTCACGCTGCGCAGCTCAGGTGTCCGGTTCATTTGTGAATGACTGTTGTTATCAGGAACTGTTGTGTAATAATTCGCCCAGGGCTTTAATCAGCCTCCAGAAGAGCCATCATAATGCTCAGAGCGCAGTTTATCCCCTCTGTTTCTCTCACAGGGGTTTTACGTTTTGCCCACTGCGCTGCATTCTGCAAACGCCATATCAGTGCGTCTTGTCGGTCCTGTTGCATTATTTGTTTCAAATGATTGGTCTGTCATTTTATCAGATGTGAAAAAAGCAATGGAAATTTCGTCTTGTTAAAGGATGTTACGAGCAGGTATTGTGTCAGCCTGGAAATAACATTTAAATAAACTCCAGGTTTTATCCAAACCCTTAAAATGATGATGTGTTGTGTTTCCATAAATGAAGCTACTCACCTCCGTCCAGTTGAATCTCTCTGAAGGATTCAACTGGTACTGTGATAATGTGCATGACACAGGAAGTCCTGAACCAAAATGTCATCATATTAGAAGACCTGCGGTATATGTCTAATAAAAGGGGCAAAGGATCTTTAATTTGTCTCTGTGAGTTTAGAAAGCAGAGTGATTGAAAAGTCCGATGGGTCTGATAAATCAGAGTGCAGGACAAATGACTTCCGTAATCCATGAGCAGATTGTCTGTTTTGTTGTTTCACAACGGGCTCTCCAGTGTCAAATGTCAACTTTTTCCCTCCTTTCCACTTTGGTTTCAGCTGCAGGGGCCTGTAACTGAGTCCATGCCCACTGTTTCCTGTTGCAGCAACCGAATATTTTTCTTAGCAAACCGGTTTAATGTTGTTGTTTTTTTCTTTTTCTTGCTTTGCTTACAGGACACAAGATAGGGGCTCATAGGTTTATCTGTGGCAATTGTTTTAAAAATAGGATTCGACTAACTGCGCGTCTGTTGCCAGTGCATTTTTAAAGTTAGCTTCAAAAAGGCAAAAATAAGTCCTTTCCACGAGAGAACAGGGAGCGTGTTGAAGTGAAAGTAGTTTTGTCTTGTATGACCCTTGCCCCATATTTGTTGCACACTGCAGGCCAGCTGGCAGAAAGAACTGTGTTACAATTTCCCTCTGGGTATAAGAAAAACTATTTTGGAATAATTTTATGCTGTAGCTTTTATTCTTTTGTTTCTCTGCAATACATTTATTACAGAGAAATAAGAACATTTACATGAAAACAAATACTAAAACTAACCTGAGCTCAAGTCTGCGTATCAAATTGACGAAAAATATATAGTATATGTGTTTTTGTTTGAAATCATTGTGCTAATATGCTGAAGCAGTGGTGTTTTTGCTCAAACTTAGGATGATCATGATCTCAAACCAAATTCAACTGAATTAAAATGATAAGGTAAGGTCACTCTTCCACCTAAGGCCTCTGTAGCTTTTACTGAGTCATGTATGATTAAAAGAAGAAGAAATGATCAGAGTATTCGAATCTTTTGTGATCCCTGAGTGTTTGGATCCTCTCTGCCTCTGTTGTTCTTAAGTTATTCTTTTAACGCCAAAAGTAATACGACGAGACAAAGCTGCTTCAGATTCCTGTACGGATGGCGCGTTATTGGAGCAAACACTGACATGGTTAGTTAACACATGTGTAACTAAAGACTGCAGAGTCCTGTGGGTCCCCAGGGCGAAGACAAACACAATAAGGAGCAGAGCACTGAAACCACAGCTTCATGAAGCAGAATATATTGGTCCCGCAGGACTGCAGCACCACCTTTGCGTTGTGTGTGTGTGTGTGTGTGTGTGTGTGTGTGTGTGTGTGTGTGTGTGTGTGTGCATATGTCTGTCTCAGTGGGTGGCAGGACAGCATTTTTGTGAAAGGGAGTGCTGTCTGTCACACATGTCTGATGAGCAGATTGAGACTCTGAAGATTTCAGGAAATGTCCCACGCAGATTCTTTCATTCACAGATCTGAGCAGCACAGCGGAAACACACGCCTGTTCACATGTCCTCCTGCGTCTCTGGGAGACCCTGATATGATATGTGTGTGTGAAATATAAAAGTAGCCACCTTGGCAGAGGTAATCTCATTTATCGTGCTGCCAGGTTTGGTGGTGGGATAGAAAAAAGATCCGATCTTCACACACGCACACACGCGCACTCTTGTAGCTTGAACAGGTGTGAACTTGCATAATTCTATTTATTTTTTATGCTTTGTTTGCGTTTAGTGTTCTGAAAATAAGTTATCACTGGAAGCCTGAATAAACACATTATGTTTGCCTCTGCGGTACATAAATGAATCTCACTCAATCTCTTTCTGTTTGTGCAGGGGAAGCAAAAAACATTCCTCCATATCCGGGACCAAACAGGATGAGGGACTGCTACTGCACCGTCAACCTGGACCAAGAAGAGGTCTTCAGGACCAAGATTGTGGAAAAGTCACTTTGGTGCGTATAAAGCCCCTTTTTCCGTTGTCTTGTTTTCTTATGCAAAAATAATTAGGAAAAAGACTTTTTTTTTTCATTTAAGTGTAAGGAAGAAAACAGGACAATAGAATAGAATAACATGGCATTGCCATCCCCTCAATGCCTGGAATGTGTTTTTTTTATCACTTATTTAAATTTTATTTAATGTAAGGCTTTCTAATATGTATAAACCCTATTTTCTTAGATTAAAGATGCACCAAACAATTCTGTTTTTGTATCATGCAACAAAGGGATTTCAATACTTAGTGTTTGAATTCAAACAAAGGCTTGTTACAGCAACATCTAAAGGTTATTTTGTTAGAAATCTGCCTCCCAGCATATTGGCCTTATCAACTCAGAGCAGGAGATGCAAGAGGCAGCCAACTTTCCGGCAGAAGAGCCGATGGAAACGGTAGCAGCGCAGAAACCGAATCACATGTTAGATTGCCATCATCTCCATGGATCACAAGCTATAAATCCAGTCAGCTCTGAATCTGCTCACACTTCTATTGTGTGCTGGGCTGCAGCTGCTCCCTGTTTTTGTTGTTTGAAACTGTAATCGTTTTTAAATTATGAAGTACGTCCTTCCTTCTTCTCTAAAGCCAGATGGAGGATAACGTGGACATTTTTGAGAGCAATAAAAGCAGCAGTTTGGTTTTGGTGTTTATAAAAGTTGTGATTTAATCAGTGTTGAGATTCCCACAGTATAACCTTAATTAACAATGCCAAGGTTTGATGGCAACCCTCCCCCTCCCCCCCACCCCACCATATTTACTGTTCTGCTCATTATGCGGTAATGATGGGAGTTGATATGTTTGCTGTGTAATAAGTCAGGCTATCTGCTCAGGTAGCCCGCCTGTTGTAGGTTTTTAGATGGAGTCGTAATAAATATGGTGTTCGTAGGTTCCCAAGTGCAGTTTTAAAAAACTTAAAAGTAACAGTTTGAAAGAAAGTGTGAGCAGTTTTATTACTCCAACATTTTACAGTGTGGTATACCTTTAAACACAGAAGTTGATGCATGGCTAGCCTTAGCAGAAAGTCTTGATTCATTTGAACAGATATTGGTAAAAGTAACAAGCTCTCGGAACAGCCCTGCTCTTCATATCTGGGCGCTATAAGCGCTGCAGTCGCTCTTTCGAACAGCTGGTGTCACTACTGTGAAAATAGAAGCACAACACAGCATCGAAGGCAGTAGAAGAAGAGTTGTTCGGAAAGTAGAGATTTTATACACAAACGTAACAAGACAACAACATTTTCACGTGGTCAGTTACATTTTCAGCCAATGTTTTCTAATATTGAATCATGTGCATTTACATGTTATAGCTTCATTAGCACCACTAGCATGTTGTTATTATTAATATTGCTATTAAGAGTTAAAATGATCACGAGGAAACGGCAATAGTTTTAGTCCGAAATAATAGCAAAATCACCCTTTTAGTCTTTTGCTGCGCATTGTTTTGTGTGGTAAATGCAGGGGGGAAAAAGGAAAGACAAAATAGCAGAAAGCTTGCATTATATTTGCGGAATGTTTTTAATTATTTGACTCTATTGTAAAACACACACGTCTTTCAATAAAGTGAAAAACAAAAAACATTTGTCAGATCAGATGACGAGCATGAGATCTTTCAGGTAGCTCCTCAAATCTTAGAGTAAATTAGATAAAACGGAGTTCAAATTAGCTAGCTAGATCATTGATAAGTAAGTCATGCTCCTTCCCATTCACTCATCTTCTCCTCTGTCTGTCTTCAAGTCCGCCACGCAGCGGAAGACGTCGGTAATTAGCAGCAGCAGCGGCCCCGAGGGCTTGGCTCACGAGATTCTTATTGCTGTGATTTCTGCGGTTGTCCTTTAGGTGAGGCGAACTGTGGGAGCCGCTGAGCCTTCCAGCCAGCGGTCACAAACAGGCCTTTTTGTTGCAGGCAAACAGGCTGCAAAATCCCTTTTCTTACCGATTCGTGGAAAGACATACCTGCAGGCTTTATTTTCCATGTGGGAGGTGATTAATTGACCGAATCAATCATGTCTGAATGTTGACAAGGATGTGGTTGGGGTGTTTACACGAAGGTGAAAGTACACCTACAGCCTGGCTGCTGGTTGAGGACACTCCCAGTCACCAAGATGGGAGGAAAATGTTGCAGACGCTGTTTACAGATTAACCAGGTGATCCTTGGCTGAACTGTAACCGAGGAGACTCGGCCACTTCTTGTTTGATGGAGGAAATTCGGTTTTTCACCGTTTCAGGGACACGGATAGTTTTCGTGGGGTTGTTTTCTCCCTCCTTCATTTCCCGGTCCAGGAACAAATGCGATAAAAGTTGAAAAAAAAAATCTACCCCAAAAACTTCCCCTGTTTGGGAGGAAGGACCTTCGGAATGAACTAAATGTGCAGTTTTGTAGTGGGAGGAAACCAAACATTTCTCATGTCTCAGCATCTTATCCTCAACTTTGTGCTCTTTAAATTACACAATTTGAAAACAGTTTTTCAACCAAATTATCCAAATTTGTCAACCTAAGTGTAAATATCTAAGACTTCTGTTATTATAGTAAAATTTGTGCAGCATTAGTTTTTCTGATACAGATTGTTTTATCTGTAGAACGACTGTCGAAGATTGTTCATCACACACCAGTTTTCCGCCTGCAGTCACTATGTAGCATTTTAACATTAATACTGCATCACGCTGATTTCGTTGTTTTTCGTTGCGACATGGACTCTGCTGTTGTGGTGGACGGAGATCTGTGTCGCCCTTCACCCAGAGAAAGACCTGTTCTGAAAACACAGACAAAAAGCAGCTGGTTTCAGGAAGTTAAAGTCCAGGAAAACAACAACAACAACAACAACAACAAAAAACTTCTCAAAGTCATAGCGGAAACAGCCTGTAGTGAATAAAGTACGGGTGCACAATTTAAGTAAAGCATATCGCAATACTGTTGCTGAATATCGCAATGACAAAAGCAATTACTATTAAGCCACATCACAAAGCATTGCATCAGATGTTGGCTTTTAAACTGACCAAATATATCATGCAGATTGTGAAAGTGCGGCACCTGACGTACGACATCCTTCAAAGTATTGCATGCAATCAGTTCTTTGGGATTATATGATTGCACACATTAAAATTGAGACGATGATTGTGATTCAATAAAATGTGCTGCTCCAGTATTTACTTGACTCATGGATGAAATGAACGAGTCTCACTACCTGTTAAAATGATCTGAAGGATGAATGACGATGTTTTTTCAGGGATTTTAGAACATATCTTAAACAAGGAACAAATTAGGTTTTGCATATTTACCAAAAATAGGATTTAGGTAGAAAAACAACAATAATGCAATTTAGTTTTTGAGCTAGCCACTGGAATTATTTCTTCAGTAATGAAAATAATATTACCAAATTTGACCGAATTAAACAAATAAGTAAAAACGTAAAATAATACACAGAAAGTAATTAGAGTAAACTATGAGTCAGTGAGTGTTCACAATATTCTGAATCAAGCCCTTTTTTTTTGCACAACAGTCTGTTGGTCTCTCAAGTGGTTTTAAACAAAATTTGAAATTAAATCTGAAGGAATAATTTATTCCGAGTGAGAGACAACGGTCTCTGGGTCTGTGGTTCACATGCGTGTCTCCACGCTCAATTGACAGGAAAAAGGTCCACACAACTGCAGTTCCAAATCAACACCTTCATTTTTGTTTGTTTTCAATCATTTGTTTAAACTTTGATCTTAAAAAAAAAAAAAAAAAAAAATCAAAAAGATAAGATTAAAGGTGCTATTTTCTGGAAACTGCAGCTTCTCATTCAAGAATCCACACAGTAAACCGTGTAAGAGGAAAAACAACGTCAACACACTGATTACTTTTTAATAAAGTGATCCGTTGCATGAGTTTCTGACCCCGGTCTGTCTCTTTCCTGCAGTCCTTTCTACGGGGAGGATTTCTACTGCGAGATCCCACGCAGCTTCAGACATCTCTCCTTCTACATTTTCGACAGGGACGTGTTCAGGAGGGACTCCAGCATTGGTGAGTCATAAGCTCATCTCTCTGTTTAATGCTCCCCTTTCCAACTCCATTATCATCTAATACCGAGCTTAAAAATCAGCTTGCAGTGAAAAATCACAGTGTTTTTTTTTTTTAGCAGCCAAAGCTAAAAACACAGGTTTTTCTAGTCGGACACAAAAAGTGAATCAACTCATTAAACACAATTTAATCCCCTTCTTATTTAATTAATTCTTATTTTAGAATATTTTATAGTCTGAGTTTTACTCACTCATCAGATGCGATCATCCGTCGGCCCTGAGAATAATCGCTGCCAATAATTACACCCTGTCTGACTGAGCCATGCTTCTCTTCCTGAGATCTGATTGGCTGCCAACAGGTGTTTGCACCCTGACGAGATCTAATTGGACGCCAGTCTCTGTCCTCAGCATGCTGAGTCAAAGATGTTTCACTGCTGGAATGGGGCTAAAAATAAAAGACGTCTGGAGGTTTACAGTCTTGTCGCTCAGGGGTTCCTGCAGTCGCTCACGTTTCTCTTTGTTCAGGATCCAGCTGATGTCAGTATACCAGAGGCAGTGCGCCCTCAGCAGCTCCTGCCAGTGCTAACAAGCTCAAACTTTAAACATCTCGAGTCTCACAGTACCTCTCAGCAACATGCAGCAAATCTGAGTCAGCAAGATGGCTGCAAGCACCGTTGTGAGCTTTGATTTGTCTCCAGCAAGCCATCTGCAGACATGACATGGTGGAGTTCGCAAAATAAAAATCAAAAGTCTTTTGAGTAAGCGGGAAGAAAATGACAAGATTACAACCAAGATGATATTTAACTTTTAGAGAAATTTGTTTCAATTTCAATGTCATTGTCAATTTTCTTGATGTAGCACGAGTTTAAAATTGCACCAAAGTGCTGCATAAAAACGATAACGCAATGGAATAAGTTGATGAAAAGAGAAAGAGAAAAAAAAATAATATTACAAAAAAAATAAGAGTGATAATAAGTAAATAAAATAAAAATATAACATCACAGCTGAAAAGTTCAGTATCAGGCCCCAATTAAATGCCAACAAATGAAAATAGGTTTCCAGAAGCGATTTAAAAATGATCTAAAAGTGTTTTGCTAAAGTTTTGTGACTTTTACCACATCATCTCCCACACTCACTGTTACTTTGTTTTTGTTGTAATGTCCTGGGTAAAACAAACATCTAAGAAGTATTATTTTATACTAAAAAAAATTTGGGGAAAAAAGGCTATATTTAATCTGAGCACTTATTCAACAGGTAAACAGTTTGGTGTAAAGATGAAGTATATTCTTTATAAAATCATTGATGTTACACATTTCCCCCTAAAAATTAATGTTGTTTATTTTTATGGTTGGTTAGTGTGTCTCAGAATTTATAACTCGTAGTTTCCTTTGGGTATATTTACGGTGTGCCACTTTTAAAAATGGGGAAAAAAAACATGAGAACATAAATACAATTCAATGAAGGCAGATTTGTCTTGAAGTTTAGAAAACAGCAAGAAGGAAATCCAGTTAACCACTCAGCTTTACAACTGAGACTGGAATACAAAAAGCCTAAGAAATGGCCAAAAATGATAATACCTCCACAAAAAGCTGCAGCTAAATTTTCAGTGTTTATCTCTCCTTCTGCAACAATAGAGGAATAATAATTTACCAGTCGATTTTTCTGTGTGGCCTATGACCTTTCATTGCTCTCTTATCTTAATAATCCCTGTGTGTTTGCGATGAGTGGAAGTTTCTCTGTGGTTTCGGGTGTGTCGGTGTGACTCTAGGAATCTAAGTGGGTTTGATCACTTACCACAAACTGACATATCTTCACAACTCCGCCCCGATGGTGTGAATGATTGCAGGTGGCACGGTTTACTTCCTGGGGTTATCTCCAGGCCACCACAGCGCATGTTGTGTGTACTTTTTCTCCAGGTGCCTGTTTGGGTTACGCAGAGATGGATGGATGGATGGATGGATGTGTGAGGATTTACAGAGCGTGAGCAGACATGTGAGCGCTGTGCGTGGGCCTTAGTCGAGCTTTTGCTGTAGATTAAATCTGAACACGTAGGCTTTTTTGGAAAGCATAAAGTGAGTTGCGTTTGGAGCTCATTTGTCTTTGTTTGCTGACGTGTGTGTGTGTGTGTGTGTGTGTAGGCAAAGTTGCCGTGAAGAAAGAGGACCTGCAGAAATACCATGGGAAAGACACCTGGTTCCAGCTGCAGCCTGTCAGCGCTGACTCAGAAGTGCAGGTCAGTACAGAGAGAAAACAGAATCAAGCTTTCCAAACACCAAGCGGTTTTTCCTCTTTGTTTTTTCTATCACAAAGACTCACTCGTTGTTTGTTTTTATACTCGGACGGAAAAGTATGACATGAATATGTAAAATATATTCACTGCTAAACTTTTTGACCAGCTTTTTTCAGTGAGCATCAAGTGCATGATCTCTACGTTCATGTGTAAAATCTCTGAGTCTGTAATTTACTTTTATTTTACTTCTGAGTCGCCAGGCTTTTCTGCACTTATGTGCTGTTGATCACAATATATGGAAGTGTTTTATGTATTTTTTTTTGTCCTTTACCTGACAATTTTCTACATTTCTGTCACATTTTGCTATGTAACTATGACCAAAAAAAAAAAAAAAAAAAAGTAATTCCGGCTTAAAAACACATCCAAAGACAGCTGCCAAATAAAGACCATTGTAGCTGACAAAACATCATAAAAAAGTACAAATAACACACATCCAAAGAAAGGAATAAACTAGTGTTGAGTCATGTTGGCTGACGGTATGGAATCAATAAAATGGAATCAATAAAATATTCTAAAAATAAAAGTATTTTGGCATCAGCGAGGGGAAAACTTAACACCAGAGGGTCAACAGAAAAATGACGCTTCTCTTACATCCTGTTTCGGTTCTTCAGCTACTTCCTACTTCTCAAAAATGAATGACGTGTAAATAAGTTTAAGAACATCTATTTTTTGTTGTTGTTTTTAAGTCAGAATTGCCTTTTGTCTCATCACAGTCAGCTACAAAGATTAGACTGAAAGCTCAGGATACAGCAGCAGCCAACCAAAACTGAACTGGCACATCCTCCCATTTCATGATCTCTAGATGCCGGGTTCCAGTGAAAGTCACAGTTGATCTAAACTGCATTACTATCATACAACGCTTCGGGCCTGCTTATATGACAGATTTGTATTTCTGCTGCATTTGATCTTTTAATTATGCTTCCAGTTCCTCTGTTAAATGTAACATATAATAGGCCCCTGGGGTTGTCACTCCTTAACTCTGGAGAAATCTCTGGTTTCTTTCAAATAGCTGTAAAAGAGCAATTTATTCAACTGAACTTCTTTGTGATTATTACATCATGTTGTTAACCAGGCCATGTGCTTGTAGCGTATTTATGAAGCCTCGGATATCAGGACATTTAAAAGGCTGCGTCACCGATATCAGAAACTCACTTTAACATGAGCTTGAACATCATTCGCTAGCTAAAAAAAACAAAACAAAAAGAAGCTAAAATATTCCACACAACAAACAATTTCTTCTGAATTTCCCATATCAAAGCAGGAATCACCCAGTGCCTCGCATGCATACAGGATATGCACGTGTGTATTTGTACGATGCTGTGTCTGTGTGTTAATGTTGGGCGTCGGGACAGAACCCAAACAAACACAGCCTGTGTGCACCTGAAACATTCAAATGTGCAGGGTCAAAGTCACATGGATCTCTCTGTGTTTTCTGTGGAAATAATAATAATAATAAAAAAAAAAAAACATCCACTGACCTTTGTCACTTTCTGTTCGTGAGCAGAAGAGGAAAAATATGCAAAACCTTCTAGGTCATCTTGAAAGAGGCCAAGTTTATTTCCTTTTCTGTTCAGAATGATCTGATTACAAACAAATTAGTTGTAATCAGAGGACTTGTTAGAGTGCAACATTCAAACCAGTTTTGAAATGCATATTTATCCAATGGCAGCCTTTGCTGTCATGTCGAACAAAACGACATCGTAAAGCCTCAAACATTTCAGAAGCTGTTGGTAAGGCAACGTCAGTAGGAGGAACTCTCAGTATTTTTGCATCTTCCTCCAGCCGTATCCTGCTATTCTTCCTTTGCAAAATAAAAACTAAAACTCCTACTTTTTCATTCAAATATGTGATTGTGAATTGTAGTTGCTTGCAGTAAGAATGAAATAGAATGAAAACATAACCCTCCTTTTTGGTCCCACAGCTGGTAAAGTGCAATGTCGTTGAAAAATTGATGTCTAAATACAAGCAACCAACCCACCACACCCTCCCTTCTCCCTGCCCCCCTCCATCCCACACACACACACACACACACACACACACACACACACACACACACGCACACACGCTGTAATAACACTCAGTGGAAATGACTAACAGACTATCAGATGGCATGAACTTTGAAATAAACAAACATAAATACAAAATCCCGATATGTTAAGTGTTAAATATACAAACCTGAAATTTAAGAACAGGCAAGATTTTCAAACTCAACAACATTGTGTGACATGTACAGAAAACGAGTACAAATCAAGTAATGCACTTAAGTATGAGGTGACATTGTACTTTTGCAGTGTGTTGTGGTCCTCTGGGAGCTGTGCTGGTTGTAAGTCCGACCATTGAAAGGACAAACAAAAGACTTTCAGCAAAAATGAAAGGACATTTTTTTCCTGATTAAATATTTTTACAAACATTAAACCGGCTACATTTGAACCATTCCCATTGTTAGTTGTTTTTTTGGAGAATTAAGGTTGAATTTGCAGATAAATCATCTGGGGTTAAACTATCTTGGTCTCAAGACCTAAAATCAAACCATGACTTGGTTTTAAACGTTTGAAAAACAAAACAAAAAAACTATTGAGACGACATATGTGCTTGCAGCTTCCGAAAAGAAAAAAAAAATCTCCCAGTTATTAAGTGCCGAGTGCCTTTTCGCCACTTTCATTCATTGCGCTTTGTTTGCTGCGTGAGCAACATTTTCTGCCGTTCACTATTCAGCACTGTCAGTCACCCACACTCGCAGACACAGAGTGAACAGTGAGCAGTAACATCTGCAGACAGATGGGTGTGTGTAGCCCCGGAGCAGCGATCTGAAACAGAGACACATTCATCCGCGGAGCTGGGGAAGAGGAAGGATGCGTGAGAGAGACACATCTCTGAGAGAAAAGCGAAGGAGATGGATCAAATGAAGTAGGAAGATAGAGTGTCTCTCTTCTCTGCTCAATAGAGGACGCATTGTTTGGCCTGTGCATGCATACATGTGTGCGAGCGTGCGCATGTGTGTGTGTGTGTACCCGTCGTTTGAATGTCCCAGAAGCAGCAACGCCTGTGAGTTTGCATACTGATGCTGTTAATTAATGGAGCTTTTCTAGACAGCTGCAGCACTACACTGTCATTATGTTATTAATCCAATCAATTCAGAAGGAAAATATCTCCAGCATGACGACCAGCCACAGTTATTCTGCTTCACTGTCAGGGGTGGGGGGGATTACCGCTTGTTTACAGCTGAGTAGCTTTGATTAATAAAGAACCAAACAGAAACACACAAATCTTGAAAGAAGAAATATTGTCTGTCGGCGTGTTAGATGATTTCTTCATCAGCACGACAGCGCGCTTCGCCGTGTTTTATGACCGGCTCAAAACTGTGTTTAATCGAACGTCTCACAGTACGAATACAAGTCTGTAGATTAGAAAATGCCGTACGTTGTTATTAGATTCAATAAAAATAGGTACAAATGATGTGCCACGATTGTCGGCAGGCTTTGTAGGGGTGTGTAGAAAGAATAAAAATGAACTGAAATCGGGAAATTTTCAGATTGAGAAATTTTAGATGTGCATCTCATTTAATTGTGAATTTATCCTGTAATTCAGCAAAATAAAATGTTGGAGAGTAGCACCGAAGAGTGGCACCTCTAACTAAAAACCATGATACCCCATCTGCTACACGCTCAGGTTATTTGGGAAATATGCCATTAAAAAGCCATTTCTGTCCTACCACCACAAAAGTAAACATGTGGCATTTGATAAATGCTGCTTGAACTTTAACGTGACATAAGTGCTTTGGTAAAATGAGCCTAATTTTGACCTTTTTGATAATAAATACTACAGGTAGATGGACTGTGTAAAACATCAGGACATTTTATATAAAAATCTTATTTTCTCTACAAAAAAATAGAAAATGGATCATCAACAGGGTAATGATCCAATCCAGCATGGCCGCCTGTCAGAACTAAATCCCTTTAGGGTGAACTGAAGAGAAGAGGATCCTGGACTCAGGATGACCGAGAGAGAGGAAAGGTCAACAGTGCCTTTCTTTGTTTGCTTCCAGGCCCAGTCTTTTGAACTGTTAAAGTTCTGATAGTAAAGGTGACAATATAAGAGGAGTACAGGAGACCAAAAGGTCCAAAAAAGGGGTTGAGGATGTTATCCGCATATTCAGAGTCTATTTCCGTCTCACTTGACTTATAGCATGAAATAAATTAGACGTTGGATTATGTTTGTGTGTCTTACAGGGAAAAGTTCACCTTGAGCTGCGCCTGAGTGAAGTTATCACCGACAGTGGAGTGGTCAACCATAAACTGGCCACACGGTGAGTCTCTGTTTTATTGCTTAGCAATCGTTTAAAATACCATTTTGTTAATTTATAAAACATGTGTCACATTTTTTTTTTGACAGTCCAGTACAGTCACTATTGGACCTACAGTTCTCTGCATTGCAAAACCATTTTATCATTACATTTTGTTTTTTCTCCCCTTTCTTACAACTGTTATTGCTCATAATGGAAATTTGAGGGCAACAATGCACTGACTAGCTCATTAAAACATCTTATCTTACAACCACACAGAATAAGCAAGATGGGGATGATGACGTTGGCAGATTGGAACAAAGCTCCAAAGTTTTAACTTAAAATTTCCCAAATCAAAAGTCGTAATATGAGAAACCTTGTTTTAGGGTGCTGTGGTGGCGCAGGGGCAAAGCACAACCCACATATAGAGACCTTAGTCCTCGTGCCGATAGTCGCAGGTTCGATTCCCAGCCTGGTGACATTTGCTGCATGTTTTCCCCCTTTCTCATTACCCTATTTCCTGTCAAGCTACTTTCAACTAAAAGCCACCAGAGCCAAAAAAAAGATTTTTTTGACTGTGTTGTTCCTTCTTTTACCACATTTCACAATTACTGACCTGCAGTACTGGAACTTTTCTGCATATGTCAGGGAAATACTTCTCCTCTTTATCATCACTGGTTCGTTGTCACATTCTGATCCCTGTTGCTTACTGGAAGCCAGTAAGCAACAGGGATGTGTAGTGTACCAAACAAGAATAGTCTCTTTTAAAAACAAGCATAAAATATTCTGTCAGTTGCTAAGAGCTGAGTGCAGAGCATCGAGTGGTCTTCCAGCTCCTCGTGTTACTGTAGGGTTCCCAGCAGTGATTTATGCTTGCTGTGCTGCAGTCATACTTTGAAACAGCAAGGTTTGCAATATTTGGCATTGTGGTGGTTTTGCTGCAGAATGCTTTACTTTGCTTTTGCACTGCTTGGCCTTATGACTGGAAATGAGTTGTTTTCTGATTTTAATTATAATTTTTCTACGTTTTTTTTTTTCTCAAAAATGCGTTGGTTGCACTCTGTGTGCGTAAGGTGTGATTGTTTTTGTTTTGGTATATTTCAGAGGAACCGGCGTGAATGGGATGAATGACACAGCCGTCGATGGGTTGTTGTGTGTTAGCGTGTGCTTCCGCAACGAGCAGTAAAGAGGTTTGATGATGAGCCAGTTGGCTCTGCTCCCAGATCACATATTGGTAAGGAGCTTAGAGCGAAGAGCAGCAGGTCATCTCGTCAGATTTCTCTAGAAAGACACGTGAGAGCGAGGCGAAAGAGCTGCTGCCTGCATTCAGCCCCACAAACCAAAGAAATCATTCACGCATGTAGGCTCATTCAGAAGATGAGAAAACGGAACTGAATTAGCCACAGACGTGATGTCTTCATCATTTGATCGTCACATTTGCATATTTAGATTAGTTTTCTCTTAATAAAAATAATACCTTGACTCTTCGAAGCCACATCAAGGGATTATTTTGGAATATGCAAATTACCAACGCTTAGAATATCTCCAACGTCTGCCAACTTTGACTATTTGTTTGTTTGTTGTGATTATGATTTTGTCTTGGTGCTTCAAGAAACTTTGTTCATAGAACAGAAAGCTTTAGAAATGGTTGGATGTGGTGATTAATTCAAGACTCGTTGTATGACAGAGGGTTAAAAAGAGCAACATTAATGTTCACGAGGTTTTACAACTGGACTTTTCATTTTCTTAATAAATAGAAAGGGCCAAACAGAGACTATTAAAGTGAACATAATTATAAAGTATTCATGCCCTTTTTATAAACTTTATGAGCAAATAAATCTTTGAAGTCTGAACTTTTGAAACTGAACATTTTGACCACTTATCCAATTCCAAATGGGAATTGGACAAACAACTAACCTCCAACACAGTGTTAATGAGAGGAACATTTTCTCAACATGGCTGCCTTTCTCAACACATTAGACAAATAGTAATATTTCAATTGATATCACTATTCCCTTTCAAAATGTGTCCATAATTTTAAAATATACTAACATTTTTTGAACAAGGTAAAAGTCGTTGCTTTGGGTTTGGGGTGTTTGTTAGCACAAACGCATGCAAATCAAGCATTAACTGATTTGAGAAACCACAGCAGCAGCAGAAGCAGTGGTTGTTTCTCACTTTAAAATAAGAGCTATGTGTTAAGCTTTGATATACCACAGTGTTAGAGCTGTGCAACAAATGAAATTGAAGTAATCATTGCAATATCAGTGTGCAATGTGCTAATCACTACAGACTGCTTTGGTAACATTAGCATATTGCATGTTCATCCAGTTGGACGGACTTACTCAGTAAGATCAGTCAGAGGGACGGGAGCCTTATGACGAAAGACATAAAGAGGTGCCGAGAAAAATTTGGGAAAATTTAGGTTTATATATTGCAGTTTTCAGCAGTAGCATCTCAGTTGCAGGTTTTCCGAATTGTGAAGCCATCAAAACATACAATTTAGTCAATACTATGTCAAACATTGAATTCCACTTATGAAAGATGATCATATCTAGTTGTAGAATACATTTTTGACTTTTTATCTCATATGTTTGATTTTCAGGCAGTATGGAAACTTACAAAAAACTTCACTTTTCTTATCTGGGGAGTAAAGAGCAGAAAAACATACCTGGAGAGTCATTGTTAATGATACCCTCATGAAACAGTGAGTTTGAAAAGGGGTAAAAAAAAAATTCAGGAATTACATTTTCCCCTGGTATTATTTTCATCTTGGTGCTTTCAATGTTTCAGGCTCTGACAAATTTCATTCAACACTAGTCCCAAAAAAAACCACACACTGAATTTTGCAGCACAACAGTCATGCCACAGTCACAGAGAAGACCTCTTGTCGGTGCCATCAGTGTCTGTCAAAAAAAATGACTGAAAAGCCAAATTTTGATTTCTTTCAGACTAACAACTTTAACATTTGGATCAGATAAAGAACATCCTGTTTGTCTTTAGAAAAGGTTTCAATAATTTGCCAACTCGGCGTTAACATCTCTTGCTTCTATTTTTACATTTTGAAGTTGAACTTCCAAGTGGTGGAGAAAGATTTGGATTTTCCAGTACAGAAAATGTTTCTCAGTCGACGTGTCTTGTCTTTCTCTTTTCTTGACAAGTTACAGTGCGATGCTGATTGTTCTGGTTGCCTCGTCATAGTTTGGATCTTAGTGTCTTGTGAGTTTCGTTTACTGTAGATTGCTTTAGATTTCATTTTCGTTTTCCAACCCTCAACCACAAATGTCACTGACTCAACTAAGTTCCCCTTCCTCCTGAGGTTTTTGCTTCAGTCTTCCGCCCTGTCGCCCCCACCGAAAAAAAAAAAAAAAAAAAACTTTCTCCAGCATTTATGTCTTGTGTTTCATTGCTAAATAAAAAAAAAAGAAGTGATAAATGAAAACAAAGAAAGATCTTTGTGCTGGAGGTTGCTGCTCTCATCAATGTGACATGGCGACACTGACCCATAATCAAGTGTACTTTATAATTGCAGGTTTGTTGAAGGTAGCGGGGAAGCTTGTGAAGTAATTCTTCACCTCTTTTCTATTTTTTTTATCTTTGAGTAATTGCCTCTGACAGGAACCGTGGGTGCAGAAGCACATTAGCCTAGAATGAGTAATGTTGACTATAACAAACAAGTCTGCTTGGCTGTCTGGTCTGTCAGAGCTCACGGCCGTGATGACAGAAAGAGGAGGCTGGATGTATTGTAGGCCAAGCAGGGGTTATATAAACCAGCTTACTGGACAGGAAGTGCTCCAGCATTAGCCAAGCTTAACCAGGCACACACCTTCCTCCTTATTACAGACGTGTGTGTGTGTGTGTGTGTGTGTGTGTGTGTGTGTGTGTGTGTGTGTGTGTGTGTGTGTGTGTGTGTGTGTGTCTTGCGTGTGCGTGTGTGTGTGCAAGGAGGATTGCGCAAGCTGCTCATGTGTGTCAGTCCAGCTCTGGGAAGCGCTGTAATTTGCTGTTTAATTCGTCATGTTGTGTGTGTGACTCGCGGTGCATCACAGTGACACACAGGAAGTGATTGGTCCTCCGGGGTGCCCTGTTTGGGTGCTAATCCCCTTACAGCATGATGTCATGGTGCAGCAGGTCAGCCTCTATCCAGACAGGCATACATTCAAAGTATCTGTGGCACATGCGTACAAGTGAAAGATGGGTATTTTTAGGGCTTTTGAACAAATAAGGCCGCATTGCATTCAATAAAAAAAAAAAAAAAAAAAATTTCAGCGCTGCTGTCTAAAAGTTTTTTTTCTAGACCTGTAACATGCTTGAAGTGAGACGAATGCAGGAATTTAATATTCTCTCGAAGCCTCCAGGATTTTTATTTTTTTGTTGTTGTATTAATTGAGAAAGGAAGGAGTTTTTTTCTTCTTTGCAGCAGACAGTTGCAGTTGTTGGTCACTGTTTGCTTGTCTAGCATTGTCTTCGTGGAGGTTGGACTACACAAAGTTCTAGATAAGGCCCTTTTTTGTAACTGCGGGCGGATGCTAGTCTCGCTTTAAGTACTTTGAATTTTGTTGCCATTTTGAGTGCCTGTGGGATTTATCCAGACTCAATATGATCATTATTTTACATAATAAAGCTGAGTTAAGCCATTTTTAGCACATGAACTCACCACAGCTCCAGTGTTATCTATTAATAAAGTGATTATACCCCAGTCTTCAGCGCAGACAGTGCAAGATTGGAAGCTCACAGCTCTAATCTATCTCTTCGCTTGCGCAGATAGCGGGGACTTTGTTATCGTCTTGTTTCCTGGCACGATATTCTGTCTTCTGCTGTACAGGAGGATTGATGGAAGTACAGAGATCACATGTGGGAAGCAGGGAACCAAAAAGCTCTGCAGAAGGCCGTGATTCGGCTTTGACTCGCAGTGGAAACTGCAAAGCCCGTTACTGTTTCATCATACTTTTAGCTGTGTAATAATGTGAAATTAAATATTGACTTAAGGGTCTTCAGGAGGAATTTTGAACCACTTAACCCGGTAAGATCTGGAGCAGGCAGTGTGAGACTCCTGCCCAGTATTGTGCTGATGCGTCAACACCTATTTTTAACAGAGTGTTGGAGTGCCAAGGCCTTCCAATCGTCAATGGACAGTGTGATCCCTACGCTGCTGTATCCTTACTCGGTCCTTCGAGGTGAGCCCTACGCTGCGGTTTTATATTCATCACTGGTCTGAATTGGGAAGACAACGCTTTATATATTTCTTTGCGTTTGTTCTGTAACTCAGGTCAGAGGCCAAGAAGACCAAGGTTAAGAGGAAAACCAACAATCCCCAGTTTGAGGAAACTTTCTACTTTGAGGTTGGTTAAGATAAATTCGCTCTTTACAGGTGCGCTTTTATGGTGGATGCTGGCACACTAATCCTGACTAAAAATAACAGTTTCATTGCATTAACACAATAATTTAAAACAAAAATGTTGGACTTGTCGTATTGCCCAGTGACCCAGTTGTCTGTGGGCCGGTTTTCCGGCCCACAGACAACTGTCTGTCGGTTGTCTGCAGCCCTTGGAGGGCTGCAGACAACCGACTGCAGCCCTCCAAGGGTCACACAACCCAGTCGACTGATTGGGGGACACATTAGTATGAAGCCACATTAGGCGCAGGCCCAATGTTTTTTTTTGTTTTTTTTTTACACCTTAGAATAATTTTAGTTAACTTTAAGACTTTGTGAACCGGATCATTTACATTTCTTTGTATCTCTACAACCATATCTAAGATTTAAGAGATTGAAATTGACCGTAACCCAGTCCTTGAGCAGCACATAAATATTTGGCTCGTCTTGGGCTCATTCCATGCATTGCTTTGGTGTAGAGTGCTTCAGACTGTATCTTTAGGTTTTCTCTTTTGCAACCTAGCACAAAGCAAAAACAGAGATTAGTGATCACATGGACATAAAGCATTCTTCATCTGATTGCGTGCTCTGGACCTGAACATCTGCTCTGTGCTCCAGTACTTCACGATACGGGATGCTGTTGTGGTCATACAAAGAAATTAGTGGTTCTGAATGACTTTGTAGCAACTATGACGAGAATACAAATACATTTTAAATTATGAAGTCTTTAATGCAGAAAACATTCAGTTAATGAGATTTGAAATTAAAGTCACGCTGAAAAATCAGCATAAATGAATGCATAAAGTAAAGTTATATTTATTCTTACATTTCTGCATAATACAGTAAATACCGTTATATTCACTTCTGCTCTGTCCCTGTTGACCCTCGCTTGCTGCAGCGCCGCACTGACATTTTTCTTGAGCTCCGCCCTCTGGCCTCCGCGCTGCAGCTCCAGTTGGACAAGAGTATGATTGATTCAGACAAACCAAACAATCTGGCCCATTGATTTCCGACAAGACCGTCTTATTTCTTTCTAATTGCCACATGAACAGACCTACAGATACTCCGGGGTGTTTCCTGAACAAATCCTCTCTTCTCAGTCTCACTGATGCAGAAATGTAGCTCGTCTCTACTCTTTGTATCCCTTAACTACGTTGTTTTCTTATCAGTGTGGATCATCACCAAAAGTCTTAGCTGACATGTTTAGGCTTCTTGAATCTTTTAAGCATAGTGGTCGATCTTTGGATCTTAATTTGACGCATGTTTGTAGGTTACGCGGCCACTGAGCTACACGAAGAGACAGTTTGATGTTGAAGAGGAGGACGTTGACAAACTGGCTCTGAGGTGAACCTTTTTCTCTCTTGACGGATTTAAAACTGGACTTTTCAGTTTGAGTTCCAGCGACAACATATTGCTTGTGTTCAGGGTGGATCTGTGGAACGCCAGCAACCTGAAGTTTGGGGACGAGTTCCTGGGTGGGGTGCGAGTCCCCCTGCGGGTTTTGGGCCAAGCTGGAGTGCACGATGCCTGGTGAGACGGACAAATTTTCGTCACTCTGAGTCCATATGATGAATTTGTTGATTAAATTCTCTGTTTAAGACTCGATTAAAAAGTGTTTAACATCGTCTAATTGCTTTTATTTAAAATTTAAAAAAAGCAGCTACTGCTACTCTCTTGTTATCTATCCAGCCATAGAAAACTCTGGTGACTCTGGCGCTTTATCTGACAACTTGCTGAAAGGACTTTAAATTAGAAGAATGGTATGATGGAAAATATTAGCAGCCTAGCTTTTTTTGACGCCAATAACTGTCCCAGAATTGTTGAAAAAGATTTTCTGTCCTAAAAAACACATTCAGCAGCTTAAATGTCTCCTCCTAATAATAGGAGGAGAGTAAATATTTATTTTTTAATGTTAATAATTTGAGATCAAGTTCAAAATCAGAACAAATATAGAAATTTTGATTTGATTGTAGCTCATCTTTTCTAGGTCTAAACCATCTGCATTTGTTGTTAAAACTCTGTATGTATCACAGTTTGGTGCTAACTGTGGTTGATGACATTTTCCACAAATATCTTAGGAAACCATCTGGTGTGGTGAGCTGAAAGTGAAAAACAAAGACAACACTTCTAATGAATTTCCCCTTTGTTCAAATGCTCAACAGCCATCATTAGACATGACTAAAGGGCTCACAAAGGCTCAACAAAAATAATCGAGAACCGACTGTTTTTGAGGCAGGCAGCTTGTAAAATGGAGCCTTAAGTCCAGAGTAGAAATATTAAAACTGAGACTGGTTTGAGTCTTGGGTTTCATCCACACTTCAGATTTACAGCAAGTGGCCTAAAAGGAGCTGTACAACCTGTCCTCAGGTAAATGGACTGGAAAAGCCTCCAGGAAGCTGCTGGTGCTTTGAACAAATTTATTTTGACTCATCAGTGTGCTTTTCGTGTCATGACTCAGATTTTATTTTAATTCCTGCCCTTTAGGTACTTTCTGCTACCCAGGGAGAACGGAGGGAAGTCCGTGAAAGTGGAAGACCTCGGCTCTCTGCGTCTAAACATCGTTTACACCGAGGACCACGTCTTCCCCTCCGAACACTACACTCCCCTCAGAGATCTGCTGCTGCAGTCTGCTAACGCGGAGGTAACGTGAACGGCGCCGCCCGGCCCCCTACTCCGCCTGCATTTTAAACCCCGCTGTCTTGTTTTCTGAACCTCCGCGATGTGCCTCTGTCCAGCCTGTGTCAGCGTCCACCGCACACATTCTGGGGGAAGTGTGTCGAGAGAAGCAGGAAGCTGCCATCCCGCTCGTGCGTCTCTTTCTTCATTACGGCAAAATAGTGCCTTTCATCAGTGCCATTGCTCATGCAGAAATCAACCGCACACAGTGAGTGATTCCAGTACGGACAGCGGGAACGCAATACCGCTCGTCCTCTAGCTTTATGATTGGCTTGCAACAAAAATATCGCCGCATCTATTCAGAATCCCAAGGTTGTATATTGAGGATTTTCAATTCATTTTGTGTCAACACACGTTTAATTACAGACGTGGTAGAAGTCCAGCTGTGGGGAAAATATTTTTTTTCCTGCCAAAATGGTTCCACCGTAATAAGATTTACCTTGGATATTAAATTACTACATGGTTTATTTCTCCTTGGATTTGTACTCTGTAAAAAAAAAAAAAAAAAAAAAAACTTTTTTTTTTTTTTGATAAGGGATCCAAACACCATTTTCCGGGGAAACTCGCTGACTTCGAAGTGTATCGATGAGACCATGAAGCTGGCTGGGATGCACTATCTGCAAGTTACGCTAAAACCGATCATAGACGAGGTATTAAAACACCTTTCATTTTACTGTCCCTTTCAAAAGTATTTTAAAAGACATTTTTAAACTGGAAATCTTTTCACATTTCTTCACCTTACAAATAAAATTGTGAATGTTTTTAATATGGATTCCGTGTAATAGTGGAGCACTGGAGCATAATGGAAAGAAAATCATGGTTTTCAGAATGCATTTTGTATGCAGCCCCCTTTACTGTGATGCCACTAAATAAACTCCAGTGAAGCACATTGCAATTTCACTGACCTTCATGTTTGTAATGTGAAAAAGTGGGTAGAAGTTTAAGGTATGAATGCATCTGTCTTTTTTTAGGTCTACATGTCTGAATATCTGTCTTAATAGCATACTAACTCTCTTTCCCACAGATTTGCACAGAACACAAATCTTGCGAAATCGACCCCGTCAAGCTCAAGGAGTCGGAGAACTTGGAGACAAACAGAGTAGGAACTCAAGTTTGAAGCAGTCTGTCTGTCTGTCTGTCTTTCTGTCTGTCTGTCTGCGCTTCCATCGCTGTGCTATCCGGCCACTCTAACCCGACTTTTCCTCCTCCTCAGGAAAACCTTCGCCAGTACGTGGACCGCATCTTCAACGTCATCACCACTTCCGGCGTCCGCTGTCCCACTGTCATGTGCGACATCTTCTTCTCCCTGAGGGAGTCGGCTGCCACTAGGTTTCAAGGTGAACTCACTTTGTAACAGCTTCTGAGAGATGCAGGAAAACTGGGAATAAGCAACGGGAAGCGGAGGGTAGTAAAATAGCAGGAAGTGGAAGACTTACAAGGACACTAAGTGTACATGCAGTGGGTAACAAGAAGTACTTTTATGTTTGCTCTCTGTCCCAAAACCACTGAGGTGTTTTCAGGAAAATTATGGAATCATTTCATTAGACTCTGGTGCCCCCTGTTGGCCATCATGAGCCACTGCAGTCGCAGGAGAAACAGTTGTTTCTGTCTCCAACTGTAGTTCGTTTGTGCTTCTTAAGTACGTCATAAAATTAGGAAAGCTCTCAAAGATGCATGATGCGATCCATCTTCGTTTTTTATAAGCAAAACCTGCCAAAATTTCATGTTTTCTGTGTGGCCAGTGTACTCCGTAGTCACTGGAAACACAATCTGTTTCCAGTAAACAAAGCATCACACAGTTCGCAGCACGTTCCTTCCCCTCGACACTGACGGAAACGTGTGTAAAACATGCCTGCTGTTGTCTCCTCTCCTATCCAGTTGACCAAGATGTCCGATACACGGCCGTCAGCAGCTTCATCTTCCTGCGATTCTTTGCGCCGGCCATCCTCTCACCAAACTTGTTTCACCTACGGCCCCATCACCCCGTGAGTCGGATATTTACTGCTAACACGCGCTCTGTTTGCGCCTTCATTTGCATCTGAAGCGAGCGCTGGTGGAAGCGCTCGCAGAAAAGCAAAGGATTTGACTTTATTTCTTTGATGTTTGCGGAACCGGGTTGGGGAGAGAATTTAAGCGAAATGCTTCGAATCACAGTTGGGTAGGATAAATAATAATTTTAGTGTTTTGCGTCTGTAGGATCCCGCCACTTCAAGAACCCTCACCCTCATCTCCAAGACAATACAGACTCTTGGAAGTCTCGCCAAGTCTAAATCTGTGAGTTGCTCTGCATCAACCTGGTTCTGTCTAGCACTCTTAAGCTATTCAGCTCAAAACAAAGACACCAACTTCTTACTTCCTGTCTCCTTTTTATCCCACTTTTGTGTGTGTTTGTTTTCTTTTCAAGGCCAATTTCAAAGAGTCCTACATGGCTGCGTTTTACGACTACTTCAATGAGCAGAAATATGCAGATGCTGTAAAGAATGTGAGTGTCTGCTTCTTCTCTCAGACACTTGGCAGACTGTTCAGTGACACTGGCTTTTATGTGGGATGAGTTAGAAGAAAAACAGTTAGATGGGAAATGATCTGCATTTTTAAAAACACGTCCACGATGTGACGGAGTAGCAGGGCTTCTTGGTGGAAAAGCAATACATTTGTGTGAATGGAAAAGAGGTTTATTTATGGAGTTTGTTACTCATCACATTGTCCAAACATTTTATCCATCCATAGAACTAGATCTTCCATTATTTACTCTTTAGAGGTTGGCTAAAAAAAAAAAAAAAACACTGAAGAGTTTACCTTTGGAAATAATGCTAGCTTGACATAAAATATATGAAAGGAGCGCTGGGAATATTTGGGATTTGACCGAACGCATCCTTCACTTGCCTTCACAGTTTCTGGACCTGATCTCCACTTCTGGCAAATGGGATCAGAAAAGCATTGAAACACCGATCATGCTCAAGGAGGGGTAAGGAGACGCGTCAATGTTGTTTTTTTTAATGTGACTTTTATGAAAGCATTACAAATACACATGTCAGATGTAAAGATAAGCCATGAAGCTGTTGCAAAATTGTTTCTTAGCTTTAGACACGACAGCAAGCAGAGTTGGAGATGGATTTTAGGACTAGCCGCACTAACGAGTGAAATTAAATCAGTTTTAAGCCGTAGTTGTCAGCCGCAGTTTGTTCACCTCAATATTTCTCTGAATGTAAAGAAAGCAGATGGCAAGATGGCTGCCCATGCTCAACTTCAACCACAATATAAGAAGATGAATGCGTTACAGAAGCTGTAGTCCGTATTAGTTTTTTTTTTTTTTTTTTTCTGGTTTCACTTGATGACATGTCGTGGTGTTGAGCAACGTAGCTAATTAGGGCTTCCTTAAAAAGATACACAAACTAATCATTTAATAGAACTTTATTTAATTTAAATAAATGTACTTAATTTATGGATTCTGTTACCTTTCAGTCATTTTCTTCTAATGTCTGAATTAAAGAGAGAAAATGAGTGGAAACAGGAACCACGGCAGAGTTTAGCTCTGAAACATGAGGCAAAGCACAGATCCTCTTCCATCAACACTCCCAGTAGCTGTTGATCTGTAATCACTAACAAGGTCAGAACCTGACTCATCAACAACCCCACCCTCTTGTTTTTCTGCTCCCGGCCGTAGGAGTGTAAAAGTCACTATAAAGAGGGTTGATGGGAAGGGGCCTAAAGCCCCAAAGGGCAGGTAAGAGCTTCTGCATATAAAGGCTTAGCCTTGGTGACCCCTCCACCCCTGCCTCTTGTGTTTGAGCTGTGACTTCCCCCAAAATGATTTGTCTCCCACCGTCATCATGTGCAAACTGTGGACTCTTTATATCCCTTTGTAGACAAGAAACTATTGAAAGTGTTGCTGCATTTCCTGATGCGGCGACACTTTCTGCACCCAGAGTGTGATTCGGTAACTCCACTGTGACGTACAGCGTTGGCCTTTAGACCCGCTTACCTTGGCGGCGTTAATGGCGCAGATCGGCCCGTCCCATTATTCCCGACACGCTTGGTGTGGCGACGACAGCCAGACTCGGTTAACTCGCACCATGATCTCATATCTGCCCGCATCCCCGCCCGACTCCTCCTCGCTCTCTGCATCCAGAGCGGGACCATGTCACTGCCCAAAACAGGGCATTTAGATCTGATCCAGGATCTGTGAAATAGTGAGAGATTTAGGAGTTTAGACTCCTGCAGATTTATGCTTCTTGTATTCCTGTAGAAAGTCATCCTGCTCTTTACTCTCCTTTATGCCGTCATGCCCAGTGGTTTTACATGTTTTACCAACAACAACAAGCATGCTGCCAAACTGGAGACACTTATGGATATTCATCAAAAGCTCCTCCAGCACCCTCAACCTTTGGTTAAACCAACGCAGGTGTTTCCTTCTTTAAACTGGAAGAACATGAATGTACTAGTGTGCATGTAATTATTGATTTAAAAAAAAAAAAAAAAAAGGGGCAAACTGTGAAGCACGGATTCATAAATGTCACAAAATGAATAAAACTGCAGTTTATTATTTTGTTTTATGTTATTTGCTATTTGAGAACTTTTACCTTTTCGGCTTTCAGTTGTTTTATTAAAGTTTTACGGATATAAAGTGCTAGAAATAGGAGAAAAATGACTCCCATCGAGGATTTTGTGGCTCATACCAATTTCAGGTTTCCTTTAAAGCCTGATTTTCTTTTGGCAGGATTACCTCTTAGCTGAATTTAAGCACTAAATGTTAGAAACTATGAAAGCAATGTGCTACAGTTATACTGTTTTTACTTGTTGGATTCTTACTACAAGCTAAACAAAGTGAATTAAAGAACATGTTTGTTTTTTTTAGCATTAACAGACCAAAGAAACAAGACATGTATTTGTTCTATGAACAAGAAATTATATATTTTATATATTTGTCCCTAGTTAGAGACGATAAAGGGGTAAATGACCAGTTTTGACCACTGACTGAGTGATTAGTACATGTCTTAAAAAATATTGCTGTAAGTCCATTTTTACTTAAATAGTAAGGAAATGAAACAGAAGGCATTTGTACACCAATTAGGAAAATGTACAATTTATGCAACTTTATTGATTTTGGGAGTAAAATATGGAAAACCACTAATAGATTTTGATCAGCTGACCTGTCTGCTTTGTCTGACTTATTGACTGGTTTGTAAAACTGTAGTCTTCTGCTTCAGCTGTGACTATTTTAGCATATGTAAAGAATGAGACACTCCGAATACGGACATCTCTCAAATCAGATCAAAAGTTCTTCCAAAAGGTTCATGTCAGATCTCTTCTTCAGAGGCTTTTTTCCACATACAGATAAAGCAACATATAAGCCCTGCAGACGAAACCTTTACGTGCATTTTGCTTAAGAAACTGCTCCATTTTTGTGTTTTTTGTTTTTTCTGCAGATTTATGATAAAGAGAGCTCAGGGCAGAAACCGGTTTGGGATAAAGAACTTCAAGAAAAGATGGTTCCGACTCACCAACCACGAGTTCACCTATCACAAAACAAAAGGTGGGCTCAGCGAGTTCCCCGGAACTCGTCCGTTTACGTCTTGGTGGGCGTTTCTGTTTGGCTCAGCAGAAGAAGGGGTGGGAATGTGCAGAGCGTGCACACTCATCCCACAGCACATGTGGTGCAGATTTAAGTTACTCTGCAGGCAGCTAGTTTGTGCAGCCACCGTGACTACTGACTGAAGCTAATCTGAAATTCCTTATTTAGAGTTGTATTTTTAGCACATGTTGCAGATAGGTTGCAGACAATATTCTGCAAACCAAAGATACTGAAAAGCCAACTTGCAGACGTTTTGGAAAATAATCTGTTTTGGGGTCATAATCCCAAAAACAGGATCCAAAATATGATTTCATTAAAATATCTGATTTTTGCAATTTTGTCCCAAAACTGTTACATGAAATAAGATTATACCTTTGTTTGATTGACTCCTCGGTATTATTTGCATTTCTTTTTTTTTCTTTTTTTTTGCATTTTTTAGTTTTTTAGATTAGTTTGCACTTCTTCTGTCTGATTGTGCTACCTCTTGCCTCCAGGAGAGGGCGCTCTGTGCAGCATTCCTATCGAGAACATCTTGGCCGTGGAGAGGCTAGAAGAGGAGTCGTTCAAGATGAAAAATGTGAGGACCACTCCACCCCGAGATAATGCTCCAAAGAATTCCCTGCAAGTGCTTAAAATTTCTGCTCACTTGCTGCTTCTGCCCCTTTCCTCCAGATGTTCCAGGTCATTCAGCCGGAGCGAGCGCTTTACATCCAAGCCAACAACTGTGTGGAGGCCCGAGACTGGATAGACATCCTGACCAAAGTCAGCCAGTGCAACCGCAAACGCCTGAGCACCTACCACCCTTCAGCCTACCTCAACGGCCACTGGCTCTGCTGCAAGTTGTCCGCAGACACGGCCCCGGGGTGTACGCCCTGCACCGGGTACGCGGAGCCTTCAGAGCACGCCCACGATCAGATTCTATTTATTTTCCATCTCTTCCTCTCACCATGTGCACGTGTTCACCTAATTTCAGCGGCTTACCTGCAAACATCCAGCTTGACGTAGACGGAGACAGAGAAACTGAGAGGATTTACTCCCTCTTCTGCACATACATGACCAAACTGATCAAAATGCAAGGTCAGACACTGGCGGCTCTGCCTCACGCGCTGCTTTCTACATGTGTGTATTTTCCACTTCATCTCTCGTTTTCTCTGCCACTCCCCCCATGCAGAGGCCTGTGGAAGTAAGTCCGTCTACGACGGGCCCGAACAAGAGGAGTACTCCACCTTTGTCATCGACGACCCCCAGGAGACGTACAAAACCCTGAAGCAGATCATCTCGGCTGTGCAGACGTTGGAGCAGCAGCACACCAAGTACAAACGGGACAAGTTCAAGAAGACAAAGATAGGCAGCCAGTATGTGCTTCTGATACGATACATTAACCCTTTGAAGACGAGGTCTAAATGGCCATCCCGGCGCGCAGTCTCTCTTCTCAGTGCGTCAGCGCTCGCTATGAAGCCATGTAGCGATAGCTAGCAAAACTACTACTAACACTGCACACGCCACGAACTCTAACTACCACACTTATAGTCTAAAAAACCTAGTAAAATCCACAGCATGGCTGCGCCCTAGTCTCTTGCCATATCCAAGTCCTCCCCCCCGTCTCTCTCTGCACGTCTCCGTTCTACCTAGCAACAGACCATCAACACATTTTCATTGGTTGTTTCGAAATGTACATTTAGACCCCACAAAATAAGGCGATCAATCTTATTTCTGGCTTTATTTTGAAGTAAATAACCACAAAACCAATATAAAAACACCACTTTTATAAAGTTTGAAGTCCGTGCTGTCCAACAGAGTTGAAATGAAAACTCGGTATGCGTCCATGTTATTACGAAGCCTTATAAATGCGTCGCATGCTTGTACGCCGCACGGCGGGCAGCGACTTCATAGGGTTAAGTCAAATGTGAAGTGCCTTTCACATTCACTACCCCTTCTGGTAAAGCTTTGTAAAAAATCTTTAAAATAAACCATCCAGTGGAATAATAATAATAATAATAATAATAAAAGAAACTGTAGATGTTTTTAAATCTTTACAAGTGGCTGCAGGAAAGTATCAACTCACCTAAATTTGTGGAAAATGAACTATTTATTCTAAGGCTTTTTATTGTCCACTGGAAGGCTTTCTATCTTGTAGGTCACATGTTTCAAACTCTCGGCCCTTGGGCCAAATCTGGCCAGCCATAAGTTTTTCCGTGGTTCTTTAGAACCTTAGAACAGAATAGAATATCATTTTATTAATCAAGTCGCTGTAGTTTTACCTGTATACGGCCAAAAAACATCCATATGAAAAGATGTGTTATATCTAAGTTCAAGAGGTTCTCATCAAATGCATGTTTTAACAGCTTGTTAATGGGGAGTTTCATCAATGCTTTCTGCCACAACCGGCCCGTTGAAGACATTCTTTACCTTGACTTGCCACAAAATTAAAATGAGTCTCCAGGTCATTAGAGAGTAAATACCATTGTTGGCCAGCAGGTGGTAGAATTGCACAACTTCCTGAAACATCAACAAAATCTAGATGAACTTAAAGTTCACATTCACATCTGAGAATTAAGTCACATCAGTTGTTTATGTAATGTCAGACTTTTGTGCATGTTTTGACCTCTGACATCTCACTCCACCTTTTTTTTTTTGTCCTCTCAGGGAGCATCCGATCGGAGACAAGAGCTTTCAGTGCTACATTCGCCAGCAGTCTGAGAACACCACCTACTCTATCTAGCTGCAGCCCTGCATATTTTTCTCTCTTCTGCCCAGAACCAACTTTTTTTTTTCTTTACTGCAAGAAAACCCGACTCTAAAGCAGCCCAGCATGTTCTGTTGAGTCGTAAATCTGCCTTTTTCTTTTTCGAGATAAGATGAGAAAGGACAGGTGCGTCCAAGCCAAATAATTTTCCCGAGGTAACTCATGAGCTGGTTTGGCAACAGGGATCCCCTGATTTACTGATTTGTTCAGTTGTTAAGGAAACCCGATGCCAGACTTTTAAGAGCTGCGTTGTGTCGGTGGGACCACACAACACAGCGTCCCTGAACGTATTCCTCAAAAATTGGAGAAACAAACGTCAGATCAGTGCGAAGAAAGAAGGGATGCAAAAGCTGAGCTATTCACACCACGCTTGCATCAGCCCTGACGTCCCTTCTGCGGTGCGACGAGAGAATAAACTAAGCATTTTCACTGGACACTGTTCACAGTGACCAGCACGCACTTTAATTGCCTCCAGATCCTTGGATGAACAAGCCTCACAGCACACTTTGAACATCTTCTGTTGTCTAAGTGTATTTTTTTCTCAATGATCGGTGAAATGTCTTTCTGCATTTCGCCTCCGACAGACCAAACTTAAGAAGGAAGAAAGGACTTTGTCCCTATGCACTTGTGTGTGTGGTTTTTCTTTCTTCTCTTTCTTTTTTTTTTTGTTATTGTTCTGTTTTGTCCCAGTTGCCCCCTTGTAAGGCTGCAAGTGTCAAGGGGACAAAAGAAGGGATCACTGGGACCAAGAAAATCTGAAAGTAGCTCAACGTTGGCTGTAAATTCTCACTCCACGCACAATTTTATGTTTCTTTTTGTCATTGTTATCATCAGCACGGTAAGCCTGGTTTAGTTTCTCACGTACATTTGTGACCTGTATAGAGGAAAGAAGAGAAGACTGCAGGTGTCATTAGCTGCTTACACAGAGTCGTTGTGTTAATGGGGTCTTTGTGTGCTCTAACATGACTTGACTGCATCCACCACTAAAATCAGTTCCTATCCACAAAGTCCCAGGTTCTCTCAACTCCAACAAAGTTGGGTGTAATGTTGGTTGCATTGGTGACACGTTAGAAAATAAACCAATTTATTGCAGAGTTTGGCTCTCATGTGATAATACAACTTGTTGCCAGTTTAGAGCCATCATCAGTAGGGTTCCGGTCATTTCGCCACATCGTACTTTTGCAGTTTTAGTCGTTTTTGTAGATTTCTGTTTCCGAAGAAAATAGGAGCCACACTCTTCCTAGCTATCTTTTGATGATTTTGTACCTGCTTTAAAAAACTTTCATACAAAATCAGTTTCTGTTGTGTAACAACCGACTGTAAGGAAATCTGGTTATCTATCAGCTGGAGGACTCTTTGGGTCATTTTGGTCCAGTCGGGCAGGATTAGCGCTCGTATTTCAAGTAGCCCAAACAGGGATTAGAAACAGAAATACTGGAAATAGTGTCATATATTCTTTAAAAAAAAATACAACTGCAGAAAAAATAAATAAATAAAAAATTTAAAGCTGGGTGCAAATTTGGCAAACGAGCGGTTTTTAATCTACGTACGCAGCTGTACGAGAGGCATTTAGAAAATGATCTCAACTTAATGCCACATACAGTAAAAGACATGAAGGCACGTCGGTGAATATTGAAATAAATCAGTCCCTGGAAGCTTTTAAGCACCTGTGGATCTGGAGTCCCAATTTTTAAGGCAGATAAGCTATAATCGCACATGCTGCTTGGACTTAGTTGTTTTTGTTTTTTTACTCTGTGTAGGTAGCTAAAGTCTACTTACTTATTTCATTGACATGCAGAGTGTTAGAAAAAGCTATTACAAAGATTTCTTTTCCTTCCTTCTATTTCATTTAATCTAACACCAGCTGTATTTTTTGACATGGTTTGTGTGGAGCTGACTTGTGTTGCCATAAAGGTGCAGTCCTTGTGTTCGATGGGTCATCTTGGAGAACTCGCCTCCTCTTCCCCTCCTTGTGTTGTGAATTATCTTATTTTTGTGCATTCTTCTGAGAAGCTGTCCGCTGTGAATCTTACCGGACGCCAGCTCAGAATCCGTTGAAGGTACAGGGTTTATTGTTCTTGCTTGGTTCTTTTTGTCCCGTCGCTCTTTCCAAAGGCAGCCACTCTGACTTGAGCTCTCACTCTTGCCAAACCAGTGCATGTGAAGTGCAGCCGTAGCCCCGATGGACTCTTGAAAACAAAGGAAGAAGCAGATTTTGTATTTTCTGAAACTCAGCTCATGTATATTTAGCCTCACAGGTGTTCCCGTGAAAACAGGATCCCAACCAGTGCCAGTCATGATTTTTTTCTAAAATCAACTTTTTAAAAAGCAATAAAAAAAATAAAAATAAAAAAAACCCCTGTTATTTAGAGATGTATTTTTCGTCTAACTCAGCCTGAACTGTTTTAAAAGCAGCTGAACGCGTATTCAAACAACATTCTTCTCGTCTTTGATGACTGTGGTGAATTTTAAGGAAGCTTCTTGTTTTCTATGTTGTCATACGCAAACCTTGAACTGAATGACTGGAGTAAGTGTGTGTGTACGCGCGCGCGTATGTGTTTGTGTCTATTCTTGTGGTGTTTTGATTATGGATTTTATCAACAATTAATTTAAACCTTTTTGTAACAGGTCATTTATTAAAAACAACCACTGCCCACGATCGTGCTAAGGACACTGTTTCCCCACTTTGGCCTGATTTAGTGCTCCCCTAAATATCTTTTATTCTTCTCCTCTAGAAAAAGTAAGAAATTCTTTCCTAGTAAATTATCATTTGTGAATTATTAAGAAAACAGTGTTGCTTTGACTTCTGAACAGTTTTTCTTTTCTTCTCTTCAGTTGCTAATGCTCCTCAGGTGTATGAAACTGATATTTATTATAATTTTTCCAGTAAAGAGCCTGCTGAGGTGGTGCAGCGATGGCAGTTATGGTAAAAGCACCTCCTCCATCCCAAAAGCCCCCAAATAAAGGGGGGACTGAATTATGCAATAAAGACGATATGCAATAATACCACAAATCAACAGTTCACGTCTGCTGACCTTTTTGCAGGAAAATGCCTCTAATAGCAGAGAGATGGTATAAAGGGAGTACAGTGTATTTTGTACAAATATTTTAAAAGTATTAAAATAAGTGTGTTAAAATGTGTACATACAACAGCTGAATGAACGGTGCAAATGTGATGTGTGTTTTTTTTTCCCTGAATAACTAAATGAATACAATATTAATGTAAATCTGGTGTACGTGTCATTTGTTCTTAACGTCCCTGAAGAGGTGTGCTTTGTTAGTTTTTACTGGAAACAAGCTTATAGAGATATTTAAGTCAAGCAAAGTGTTAGGTGTGATAAGCTAGGTTTCATAATTATGCCACCATCACCTTTTCCCCAGATAAAGATGCTGAAATGTTGCTAAAAGCTTTATTTTGGTCTCATTTTGGTCCACAAAAACATGCATATAACAGCCTTCTGGCTTGTATGTGTGTTTAAAACCAATTGTAGAAACTTAATTGCTGTTGAGGCAGCTAGATTGCCTATTGTCAATTTACTTTGCAATGTATTCTTCTGACTAAACACCTACCAAGACAGATCCAGAGTTTTTTGTTTGTTTTTATAGAGATCCAACCAGCTACTTAAGTACTATACTCTATACACTGGTTGTGCTTTATTAACTGCGCCACCATAGCACTCAACATTTTTAGAACTAACTTTTTGGGCACTGTGGTGGCCTTAGTCCTCAAAGCGGCCATCACAGGTTTGAGTCCCAGCCCGATGACCTTTGCCGCATGTTTTCTCCCTCTTTCCTGTCTGACCACTCTCAGATAAAGGCCACAAGAACGGATAAACAATTAATAATTTTTTTTCCCTGTATGTTTTCAATAATGAACTAAAAAGATGTCAGTTTTATTGAGATCAACAAAACGGTGGAGTTTTTGTAAAAAAAAAAACAAAAAAAAAACGGATCTGTAAATTATAAAAAGACCCACAGTTTCAATATTTTTTTAAAGCAGATTTTCTTATTGGTGACCTAAGATTTACTTTTGAGAAAAATGAGGTCGATGTTTGTGGTTCGAGTTGCTCCAAAATTAAAATGAATGCAAAACTTCTCTTAATAAATGTGAATATAGATATAGAGGGAGAAAATATCCACCCCCATCAACTACCTATACTTGCTGGCCAGATTTGCTCCTTTCCAAATCTGAGCTCTGGGGGCCGTCCAAAATCCTTTAGAGGCCCGTAAATGGCCCACTGGCCGCACTTTGGACACCCAGTGATTTATGAGATAAAACTCCTAAATCAAGGACATTTAATCCTTGTTTAACTTGGATGTTAATATTTTTAAAATACTATAAAATATGCAATATTGCGTATTGGTTGAGTTGCGGGCCCCCTGTCCTCTATTGTGTTTAGTAACGCTATTTTCCGCCTGAGTTCAGCCACGTTGAGTAAACAAAAGCCAGAGAGCGTCAATAGCGTGTCAGCAGCGCTCCCTAGCTGCCTCCCTCCCTCTCCTTTTTTTTTCCCCCCACAAAAACACTTTCGGGAAAAATAAAGTTTGCCCCCCGACTTCCCCCCGGTCTTACCGACCTGCTCTCGGTCAGTCTAAGCCAAACCGTGGCCTGTAGCTGGAAGAACGGCTCGACTATGTGGAGGCAGAAGCGGGCTCTTGGGAAACCCTTGGCTTGTCTCGTATTACTAGTGGCGCTCGCCGATGCTTATCGATGTAAGTACAATCGCTGCATTTTGCGTTTTTTTTTTTTGTTTTTTTTTTGCTGACATTAACGGAGCAGAGCTCGTCAGGGCGCATTAAAACTCAAACCGTGGCCCCATTGAGCTTTCAGTCTGGATGAAACCTGCTCGGAAAGTTGCAGGACTTTTACATTTTTTAAAAAAAAAAGGAAAAACATAATCAGAGGGGGAAGCGGAAGGGTCATGACTCTCATACACCGTGAAACAAAAAGCCTGGACAACATGAGCCGCTTACAACAACTAGGGGGGCTATTTCTGGGAAATAACGGTTTCGCAATGAACTCTTTTCATTGCCAATTCATAGAGAAGCAATTAGGTTAGTCCAGAAACACATGGGCCAGCTGTCATGAGGGAAGAGACTCCTCTGCATTCCTGCGGGGATCAGTCAGGCTTTGTGGTATTTCTATACTGCATTAATCACTATTGGAACCTCCAAATCAGCAAATCCCCTATTGTCTTTTACACAAAGAAGCTGTGGCTGTTTGGAGACGGTAAAGATGATTCTGAACCAGGGTGTCTGTGCTAGTCCTGAACCAGAATACAGCTTCCCAGTTCCTGAGCAGGCAGCGGAGGGCCAACTCTCTGTTCGAGGAGAGCAAGAAGGGCAACCTGGAGAGGGAGTGCATCGAGGAGGTGTGCAACAAGGAGGAGGCAAGGGAGATCTTCGAGAACCACCCGGAGACGGTAAGGGTGCCCCCACACCCCCGGGTTAGATCAGATGTTGCTGCATTTGCAGGATATGTCAGACTTTGAAACCAGCTTCAGCAGAAAATAAATTAGAGGAGCATCAGGAATGGGGAATGAAACGGAGTATAGGGGAGCACTGAAAGAACACACACAGGCAGCGAAGTTGGAAGAAATGTAAAGCAAAAAAAAAAAAAAAAAAAAAAACCCCCATCTTTCCTAGAATTTAAATTTGCAGATCATGCTTCAGATTTGTGAAAATCTTTGAAAACTTTGAGAGAAGCTTAAGTTCACATCTTCAAATGTGTGTTTCAGGTCATTTGTTTCAAATCATCGAAAGAAAAGCAACACGAATAAGAGATGAATAAAAAGTGGGTCAACTCCTGGTTGTTCGGACTTTAACTCGTGCCACATTTATTTACAAAGAATCCAATGAAGCCGTGTGAACTAAAAAAAAGGTCTGTGGGCCTTTGGAATAGAAAGCAGCCCACAGCAATACAGTCCCTCCACCATGCAATAGAACTTAAATTATTTTTCTGTCTTCAGACCCACCTGGAGGGTTTGTTGTTCTAAATCACATCTAATGGTTGTTATGGAGACTTGGTGACGGGAAAGATGTCACTCTTTACTTGCAGCTCTTTAACAAAGAGTTTTACATATACTTCCTGTTCCATTATGCTCCTGTTGCATATTGGGGGGGTAAACGCCATTTAAACATGGATTGTTAATTTAAGGTCCAACCTAAATCAACCTAAAAGAAATGTAAATAAATGTAAATAAAAACTAAGACACTGGTTCAGATACATTAACTTTGACAAACACTAAGGAAGCCAATAATTGTTGCACTGGTGATTTAAATAATTAATTCTTCAGAACACCGGTTGTAGGTTGATTTAGGACGCATTTTGTTCTAAGTCCCCATGTATGAAACATCTAACATTTGTCAATCTGTCACATTTTTTTTTTTTTGCAGGAATACTTCTACCCCAAATATGTCTGTGAGTTTTGCTATTTTATTTTATTTTTTGTTTCTATTTTCAGCATCGCGTGCTTTCATACCCGTGACTCGTTTTCTTCTTTTTGCAGTGTGCTTGGGTTCCCACCGCGTCGGCATCAACAACCACAACTCGCGGTCAAACATCCCGCCTGACCTTCGAACCTGCGTAACGGGTGAGATTTTAACACAGGGTCTGCTTTTGCTGTGAATTGCCGCCAGCATCATGCCCTGTGGGTCGGTGTGTCCTAAACCAGAGCTCAGTAACCAGTGCACGCCGTACCCGTGCTACAAGGAGGGCTCAGAGCGCTGCGTCGATGGCCAGGCCTCCTTCACGTGTGTGTGCAAGCCGGGCTGGAAGGGGAATCGCTGTGAGGATGGTCAGTTATCATTAGTTGGCTTTTCTTTTTTTGTTTTTTTGTTGGATGTTTAAGCACAAGTGTTTACTTTAATGGTGCTTTTAAACTTTAACTGAATATAATTGTAAGCCCTTTTAGTGACTGAACATTGCTTTGTCATGGCTGTTGGTTTCTGCAGACATCGACGAGTGCTCAGATCCTGAGTTTCTAGCAGGATGCAACCAAAAATGTCACAACATACCAGGTAGTTTTCACTGCTTTTGTGATGAAGGCTTCGCCATCATTGACAAGATCAACTGTATTGGTAAGACCTGTTTTTTTTTTTAAACAATTTCTGGCAGGTGAAGTTGACGTTTTTACAACTTCACGGTAAACCCCCCCCAAAAAAACAACCTTCTACTCAACAGCTGAGCACACAGACAGTTTGTTTTTCATTCTGATACTTTTCTTGCTAGTTATTCATGTGGATAGTTGAACTCTTCATGCTTTAAATCACAAACTCTGCTCCCCCAGCTGTTGCCCTCAGGGAGCACATCATTTGTTATTTTTGACCCGACGGGCCAGCAGGTTTGCTGAAAACACCAAAACAGCCCAATAGCTCTAGGCTATTTGAAATAGCATACGGTTTTTCGACGTCCACTGTCCTGTATTTGATCATCTGGACATTTCCTGTTTTGTTCTGTGTGGGCAGCTCACTGTTTATCTTTTGAGTGTTGTCCAGTACAAAGTCTTCACAAACATGAACTCAGGCAGTCTGATGATTTGGCTTTCTGTTTTCATTTGGCGGGTTGCAGGGAGTGAGTGAGTGAGTGAGTAAGCCGCTCTGCTGCGTGTGCATGTGAGCGTCATGTAGAGTTTCTGCTGCTATCCACTGCGTGCCCCGACAAGTAAACAAACCGTAAAAACCAATTTGCTCACCCCAGCTCCTACTCAGAATTATATTATTTTAATGACAGACTTTGCAGTGTTGCTATAAACTGATTCTAATCTAAATCTTACGGCATTTTAAGGTGCCACATAAAATCTCAAATGAGATGTTTTATTTCTTTTTTTTTTTTTTACCAGAGACGGTGTACATTTAGATTTATCTTGTAAACCTTATGAATATTCCTTAAACAGTTTATATTTTGATGTCTAACAAAACTGTTATTGTATTTCTTTCCAGACGTCAATGAGTGTGTGTTGTACCCCAGTATTTGCGAACAACCAGCTAAATGTGTCAACACACCAGGCATGTATGAGTGTCAGTGTCCCCTCGGATTTAAATACAACTTCACTTCCAGGACATGCGATGGTGAGATTTTACCCTGCCAGGCTCTGCCTCACCTGACATGCACATAGTGTCATTTTAGGTGTTTTATACATTAGTGACTCTCAGCATGTGAAACCTTCTTCACTTTTTGCTAGTTGTTTTTGCTTTCCAGTTGTTTTTCCATTATTATTTTACCTCT